AATTTGCAGTTACTAGTATTTAATAAAATATTTAAGACAATATAATATATACCAATGATATATTATTTGAATATTATAGTCATGACAATAGTTAAGTGCAGTTAGACATTTTTTTATTACATAAGTAGCAATTACCAAAGTAAAATGACAAGTGGGTCGGACACTTTTGTTGGATACATGAACTCTCAAAATGCCTATATGGTTATATTTAAGCTATAATTTATAATATAACCAGCCATGCGCAGGTATTTGCTATTTAATTTAATTGTCTATCAATAATGGGTAAACTAATATAAGGTGGATCGGTATGCGTATGTTGATTTTCAACTGATTTTTAACAAAATCATCGCATATCAATTATCAAGTACCTATCTCATATTATAAATTAAGTATTAATATAATATTTTAATTATTATAGTATAATAATTAATAATATTGTTGATAATTAATAAATTGGACCTAAGTTACAATCGTCTGTTTCGAGATGTGTTAAAAAAGTATTTCTTGCTTGGACCCAACTCGAAATTTTTGGCTAGTGGCTATAAGTTAAGTGTAAAATTATTGTAGCCTTAAAAATTCATTTTTGTCAATTATTGGGACCTAACCTTCTCCATTGTGACATAAAAATTACGAATAATCAATTAAATAGTATGATAATACAAATATTGATAATAAAACCGTATCAGTGTAACCCACATATTTAAACGCGTTCTTAGAAGATAAAGAACGTGTACTTAAGTCACAGATATATAAAGTAACTTAACAAGGTGGATTGATATCAAATTCACCTTGTAACTTAACTTAAAGTTACTTTTTATACCTGTGATTTATATATCATATACATAAGTGTGTAACCATAGACATAGAGAATAATGTTCTATATATATATGGGTGTAACTACAGAGCCTATATTATTATCTAGGCTCTCTATGTGTGTATATGATCTAAGGGCGTAACCGTATAATTAAATGAAAATATCCATAAAATGTATAAGCAAACATTATTTATACGAAAAACAAAATCACTTGGTGCCAATAACAATACACTTTAAAGTGCTACATTAATACATTATCAGCTTAATGTTATAAATTATAATGGATTTTTAATTATTATATTTTCACTTAGTAACCAAGATTATTGACTATAAAAATCTGTTTATAAAGTAACATATTTTGTAATATTATGTATTTTTCATCATACAAATCGACGAAACTAGTTATTTTATTAAATCACACATTTCTATAATTATTCATACATTATAATATGACAATTATTGTCAATCGACATGGACAACAACTATAAAAAAAAAATGAAAAATGAAAAATAATCTGAATACGCACACTTAATTTGGATTTATGGTTGTTAGATATCTATGTTACCGTAAAGGACATTTTCGTAACTAGAGGTTGGAGACATGGGCCAAGGGCGCAGTAAAGTAAGTATGGTGCATTTGAGTTAAATTAAAATTGGTTTTTTTTTATAACATTTTTTTTCCTCATATATTATTTAAAGTTTTATTAAAATTAAGCATAAATGTATAATGCACAAACATTACATGCTGGATTGCTCCTTAATGTTTATTTATTATTGTGTTTACGACTTTTACATTAGTACCTATACACTATATCTAGGTAGGTACGTTTGTCGGTAGTCACCACTCTTTAGTAGGTTTCCGTATTTTATATTAGTGTAGTAATACTGTTATCCTAAATTATTAAAGGATATTATGTTATAAGTATTGACGTCTTGAAAGTTCCAAGACATAATAATGAGAAATTCTAATAGGTATGTCGATATAAGTATACGAATACACTATTAAGTACCTAGCGCACACAGGATTTTTTTCAGAGGGGGTTATTATAATAATAGTTTTCCAGAAATTATAATCTAGGTACCTTTTTTCATATCATCATGGTGAATTCTCAGTTTGCCGTCATCTAATTCGTCAAATAGTTCAACAACAATCAGTATTCTACCTCATAATTTCGTTTAAAATATAATACAAATAAATAAAATTATGGAGTATGGACGGGAACAGTTGTCGACAATTATAGTTACTATAGGCCGTTGAAAAATGAAATATTATCCGAACATGCACACTTATATTGGATTTATGGTTGTTATCTATGTTACCGTAAAGGATACTACCTATATTAAAATTAAAGTAGATTAGTCGATATAAGTTTAACAATAAACTATAAAGTGTACGTATGTCGTATACACTATACAGTATCGAACACAGGATTTTTTTCAGGGTGGATCATGTTAATAATAATTTTCTAGAAATTACAATCTAATTGACTTCTATTCATATTTTAGATTTTAGATATTAATTCGTACTAATATGAAATGAATTTAGAACTTATTAGGAATAAATTAGAACAGTTTAAGAAAAATTGAAAATAAGGATGTTGTTGTATGCCCTAAATTTATAAATATCATCATTTCAACTTTGAAGGAAAATAAAAAATTTTGCAGCAATACACTAATATAAGGAAAGTCGATATGCATAATAATAATTATGTTGAACTTCAACTAGTTTTTAAGGGGCCTCGCTACGGTCATTATTTAAGGGGCAAAATTTAGGCAATTACTTATCTTGTCATAGCCGCCCAGGATCTATGTGTTAGTTGTAAATGATTATTAGTGTGAATGAAATTAAATTAGGGTATCCTCTCTCGGACGCGCATGCACTTATCAATAACTCGATAACCATATCAATTTCACTACTTACAAAAACATACATTTGTTTTGACAAAATTAAGGTTAGTTAACGTGGTCTGATTTTGATTCTGGAAAAAATATTTGAATTAAGCAGAAAAATTTCTATAGATCACACGAAACATTTTCTTTTTTTTAATTTTAATTTTAATTATGATTCGAAAAAGTTGATATTTTCAAGGTTTGAAATACAGTTCACAATAATATAAAATTTAATTTTTACAAAGTGCTTCATAGGATCTATAGACAATTTTCGGGGGAGTTCAAATTTTTTTCAGAAATGAAATCGGACAACGTTAATTAACTTTAATTTTGTCAATACTTTAGGTCTTTTCAGCTAAAATTGACAGCAGTAGGAGAGCCCCTTAAGTAAATTGTCAAGAAATTTCAATCTAGGTAACTTCTATTCATATTTTAGATTTGAAATTAATTTAGAACTTGATTAGGAATAAATTAAAACAGTAGAAGAAAAATTGAAAATGAAACAACATCCGTGCCTTAAATTTTTTATCATTCGTGAACTTCGAAGAAAAATAAAAAATTATTTTTTTTTTAGGTTTTGGTAACTTTAAATTTCTTTGCTATACTGGGTCGTATCAAACGCCGGTTGGCAACAGTCGATTTATAGTTTATCAATAAGTTTCGAGATGGGTTAAAGAAGTATTTGTTGCTTGGAAGCAACCAGAAATTTTTGGCTAGTGGCTAGTAAAGTATCGTCCGTAGTTTTGTATGGTACCCTGTGTACAACGTAATAACTAATAATAATAACAATAATAGAACCACTCTGTAGATATGTATCATGAAGAGGACTAGGCTGGCCTTGGGACCACATTACAAAATATAAAATATCAACTAAACATGTTAAGAAAGCGGAGATTTTCTTGAAACAGACGAGCAGTGAACAAACAGGTTTACAAATAAGTTATAGTCAGGGTAATACCATTTCTAAGAAAGAGGTATAAGCCGGAAACCTGATATAGAAATGCAACTAAAATATACGAATACTCGAACTATCATGATTTATTAGACACAACCCAGTATACTAGTATAATGACACCCGTTTTTAAATTTTAATCTACGGATAAGTGCATCCGTAATAAAATATTAAATATATGATGATGCTCTTAGTGCATATCAAAATATAACATACTACACATGTTACACGGACAAGGCGGGGTCGTTAGCATTTCCGAGAAGATTATGGACGGACACAGCATCCGTGGGAAACGTTTTTAAAATTAATTAATTTTCCTGTTTAAGTGTTATAGCAGTATACCACTGCTTCGTTGATCATTTTAACCACATATTATATACATAATTTGAACATGGACGGCTAGGAAGTTTGGTATTTACTAGCTTGTTATTTGTTAATAGTACTGTGTTATTGGTTTTGTATCTATTTATGATTATGATGCATGGAGAAAGGAATGTTTATTACTTAATATTATTTTATGCTGTGTAATATTTTTTAATTGCGTTAGATTTTCCAGACCAAAATATTATGCTTGTATTGGCTATTGGGAATAGTCAACTTATATTATTATGTTTATTAAAGCATTGAGTATATTATTCATATATATTACATGACGTTTAATATTTTTATCACGTAGGTTACCTGGTACTCGATAACTTTGAACGGTAACTTGAGTGAATTGATATTTGTCTGTCTTTGGAGGTATGAAAGCTTACAAATATTATGTCTTTTGATCTTACAGACAAATATTTCGTTATCAAACATAGAATCAAGTAGTAGTACTTTTATTTTCGAAATATTATTGGTCGAAATGATAACGTTATTATACTTACGAGTTCGTATGAGTTATACCGATTGTTTGAAACCTAGTAAATCCGTTTTAGTACCTAAAGTATAAAATCATCTGAATTAGACTCGTGGACATCCCTCATCACAGACAATGATAAACTTTATAGGTTTAATTACCAAGAAAACTAATTTTTTGCTATTTTTTTTTTTTAATTTCGTGGATCTGTATCAGTATTATTAGAGTTGCAATAGACAGCACTTGGAGTGTGGTTTTATATTTGTTGCGCTATATTTAATATGTTTTAATTTACCTAGCAACACACCATAACAAAAGTATTAGTCAAAATTTCATTATTACTTTCATAATTCAGAAATTAATCTAAATTAAAATCATCATCTGCAACCATTCCTTGTCTCAGAGTAGTGGTTGAGTCGAATATCGAGTCTGCAATTTACATTTGCTCTTTCATTAGGCCTAAACGGTTGAAATTGTACATCAACAGTGATCGAACAAAATATGTCAACACAAGAAGAATTTACGGTAAAATATTTTTAGACAATATCAAAAGTTGAAAATATTTATTTATTTCATAATTTAAAATATGTATCCCGTAGGCCTATTATTATGACTACCGACTACGTGTAAATATGTAGTAGGTACCTAGACGTTTTGTCAAAAACCTAATGTATCCTTTACTTTCAGGTTCCATTATCACAGTACGATAAAGCTGTAGAGAGGGCAGTAAAGGCTGAAACAAAAATGGTAAATAAGAAGATACATTTTCTCAGCAATTAATAATATATAGATAGCTACTAATCTTTTTGGTTTCTATACACGTTTTCGTTTTCTTTCTCACAGTACCTACCTACACGCAGTTTTTATATACAATATACATATAGAATAGAATATTATTTTTACACATGTACCTACAACCTACCTATATAGTATATAGGTACACATAATTTACGAGAATAATAGTGAACTATGAATTTCAATCATTCTTGATTGATGTACGAAGGATATTGGGAAAATATCTATCTATTATTTTTTAATTGTCATTTTGGTATTTTAATCATAATACGAATTAACTTTGTAAATAATTCCACACATCTAAAACAATTAGTGAAAATCTAGAAAAGTCTAGGTTACTTATTTTGTATATAATAGTCAAGGGAAAGTTTAGATTTTTCGATTTTCAATATATTCCCGTTTTTGTTTTATAATATAATTCTATTAATTCCATTTATAAAAAAAAATGGCCAAGTGCTAGTCGGACTCGAACATGAAGTGTTCCGTAGCAGCAAGTAACATAAATAATAAGTCGTTTCGTTCAGCCGGCACGAACTTTGGTCCCACCACCAGGTCCAGCAGAAGTCTTATACCAAGACTCAGTCCATTAAGGTATTATAGCCCATCTTAGTCTTAGTCTTAGTCTTAGCCCGTGATTGAGATTACATTTTTAAATATATGCATGTCAAAATAGATATATTATATTATATATATATTACTATTATTATTATTATTATTATTATTACTATTATTATTATTACTATTTACTTATTTACTTATTAAAAAAAAATACTTACTATATCTCGTTCAAACCAATTTCCGGTGGAAGTTTGCATAGTAATGTACATCATATATTTTTTTTAGTTTTATCATTCTCTTATTTTAGAAGTTATAGGGGGGGGAGGGGGTACATATTTTACCACTTTGAAAGTGTCTCTCGCGCAAACTATTCAGTCTAGAAACCTCAATATAATTTTTGAAGACCTATCCTATGTATGGGTTAGATGGAAAAAAATTTTTGAGTTTCAGTTCTAAGTATGGGCAACCCCCAAAATGTATTTATTTTTTTCTATTTTTGTGTGAAAATCTTAATGCGGTCCATAGAATACATCTACTTACCAAGTTTCAACAGTATAGCTCTCATAGTTTCGGAGCAAAGTGGCTGTGACACCACGACGGACAGACAGACATGACGAATCTATAAGGGTTTCGTTTTTTGCTACGGAACCCTAAAAATGAGATTGTATTTGTAAGAACCGGGATAAATTTAATAATATTATCAACTCCCGGTCACCGAAAACTAAGCTATCGTGACACGCAACTCACTGACTGACCTGCTGTATGTGTATATAGTGTGTACTGTTATAATAGCTCAATCGGTAGTGGTCGGGATTTCCAGAAAAATACCTATGATGTATGTTGTAAAATATGTATGTATGTGTATAATAATGGAATATAGGTGTATGAGCGTGTGCTAAAAATTAATTATAATGTAACTCTGATATGAATAGGTAGTAACTGGTAGGTAACTCAAATGGCATTATAAATGTATTGCTGATAAATAAATTAATAAACATAATAATAATTACATAGGTAATAACTCTTTACACTCAACAAATTCTGCAACCTTTTTGGTTCAACAAGTAAAAATAGTAAGCTAATATTCAAGTAATAGCCCCCTGTTGCAACAATATAAACAAATTAACAAAAGACAACTTGATAAGTGATAACGCACGACTTGGTGGAGCTCAGAACTGACCAGCTGCTTACTCGCGATCTATATAATGTTTTACATTCACGTGAAAATATTAATAAAAATAATTAATTATGGGTTATTTGAGCTCTGAACAATAAACAATAATAATTTAAAATGTGGTGATTAGCGCCAAGTATAAAGTATAAATTATTGCTGATTTGCAACCCCTATAAATATACTGGGCGTAGCCCGATTGCAGACCAAAGTAACTTTTTTACCTTTTAACCTATCTCGATTGGTCCTCTATAATAAATTTAACACTACAATTATTTTAATGTTTAACTATTATTCATTGACTATTAATTGACATAATATTCATTTTATTTCATATCTATTTAATAAATTATTGTAAACGATTATTTTACTATTTATATGTATATGTCGAAGCCGTTTCGCGAAATCGAACTTTTCATGAAAAGATGACCATTTCATGAAATGGAAACTGATATTTTACGCTTCGTTAAATTCGAAAATATTTCACAAAATGGTCACCTTTTCATGAATGTAAATGTAAACATAGTGTAAATGTGTAATTTTTTTCACAATCTGGTCGTTCAATTTTGTATACTGCGAAATACAACATTCGCACACGTCTATAGTTTGGTTATATCCATTAACCACGTTCCGATGACAAATACAATACATATTGTCTGTATTATATATGACTATTACACCTGCCTAATTGCCAGACTATCTGAAATGTGTAGATGATATTTATTGGTTTTGATTAAAGTCATAGTCATAATGGCATACGCGCATAAGGTCAGCATAAGGAACTGTATACATTTTACTACTTTGTTTCTTTCCTCACTCACTCTATATCGTACTGGTACTATTTACTATAGGTCGGTAAAATGTAATTATTTAATTTAATTGTTGATATGGCACGAACCGAATTGAACACAAAATTGTCTATCTTAAAAAGTCACATACACTTAATCGCTTTATACGTTTACATACCTAAAATGGTGAACTGTAATAATTCTAATATTTAAATTTTCAGGACTCAAATGATGCATTAAAATGGTTTGTAACAGCCCGTTCTGCAATAGAAGATTTTGAAGAGACACATTTTCGTAAGATAAGAATTCAAGTATCAAAGGATATAAACGATTTATTTGAAAGAAGACGATTAAGAAGAGAGTTGAGATGGCAACATATCTTGGAAAACAGCGAAGGTTATCCTGTTAAAAAGTTATTAGAGCGACTAGAACAGAATAATATCACCAAAGACCAATTTTGTTTACGAATTTCCCTTGCTTACGGGCTGTTATCAAAAATGATACACAACACAGTGTTAACGCCAGGCTCTGGGAAAATACTTTTCAGTTTCCTAACAACGGATGAAGATGTCAATAAAGCTATAAAAATTTTCATGCAGGGGTTTGAAATAAAAGATCAGATTATTGAAATAATTAAATGAAAACTTGTACATCTATATTTATGGTCTTATTCAGTTGATGATCTTTTTACTGACATTTTCAAAAAAATAATGATACTTTTTAATTTTTTAAATTAAATTAATAAATATAAATATTTTTTAAATATAATTTATTAACTCGTGTGCTAAATTATATCATAAATTAAGTTCATAAAATTCAAAAAATGTAACAACATTAATAATAACGTAATACCTACCTATAGGTAGTCAAAAATAAATAATACATAACAATTATTACGCTTCAAAAAAAGGAATAATCTTCTGTATTGGTCTACAAAAATAAAGAAATAAGATTTACTCATAATGATACTAGTATGAAATATGTATTGCACGTCCAACAAAAAACAAATTATAGTCATATTATTTAGTTCAAAAAATTTCCCAACATTAATAATAAGTAATAACGTAATACATATTAATATAATCAAAAATATGTTTTTTTCAAATATAAAAAGGTAAAAAGTGCGCAATCGTGTTGCACCGATATACCTTATTCCGGATGCACTCGGGACATTAATTAGTAAGAGTCATTACGAGATGCATTCAGGAAATTCACTATTATTTATATTTTAACATAATGTTATAGAGTAAGTTACTTAATTTGAAAATTGTTTGCAAATTTTAGCGATTTTGACAACATTTTAACTTCAAATGTATATAACGTGCATAATAACAAACGGACATTTCTCCAGCCCCCCAATATCGACAATTTTCATCAAAACGTTACAAAGGGTTTGTAAGTCGTTTGTTAAGTTTTGAAAAACAAAAATTTTCGTTTGTAAAGAAAACCAAAAAAAGTTATGCCCAATTCAAGGTGGTGGGTGGGGGGGAGGGGGCTGGAGAAATGGCTAAAATCCGTGAAATTTGGAAAGCCTAAACTTTTTTCAGCTCAATTAAAATATTAATTATTGTTAAAACTTAATTTGGCCAAAATTTCTGGAAAAAAAATATTTTGTAAAGTTCCAAGATTTTGTCAATCGTTGTAAAATAAGTACCTATTTTAATATTTTATACTATGAAAAATGTTTAGTAATTTTGTGGTGGCTTTCGATCTTTGTTTTTTTTTGGGGGGGGGGGGGGGTCTAAACATATATTTTTAATTATATCTAATTTAATTTAATATTAATAAATAATAATAAAGTTCCATCTAATTTATTTAAACAAAAATAAAATGTTAAATTGGGTGTAAGTCATCAGTTGTGTTTAAACATTTTATAGCTGTGTCTGAGAAAAATGTTGATTATTCGGAAGGTACTGCTGAAGCAATCAACATACCGGTTCCTGCTACAGTCCTCAATTCATCTGGTAATTGTTTAAAGAATATAATAATATTAAAATAATATATGAATATTTTTTAAATATAATATTATGTTAGAATTTTGTGCGATGTTTAAATTTCTAATTGTTGCATCATATCTAGGCATTAAATTATTATTTGGAATATTATTAAATATAAAATTTTTCATAACGTTTTTATTTTATAGTTGGGTCTGAGGAAAATGAAAATTGTTTGGAAAGTAGTCCTGAAATAGAGAATACACCTGATTCCAGTATAGCACTAAATCCTACAGGTAGTTATGAGTAACTAATAATGAAATTATATTTTATTTTTTGGTATTTTAATTAATAAGATTTATAGTCATTATTATAGTCATCCTAAGTTTGCGATTTTAAGTTTATAGTATATGCATGTGCGCAACACTACTTTAATGATGCTTGGAGGAACTCGTGTTTGGTGTTTTTCGATTTTTTAGTCTGAGAGCAACGCAGCTAGCTAGTGGCAACGTTAGCCGATTTTGTTCTTTTTAACAACTATGTTTAATTCCGAGGCCTATCCAAGGTGGTTTTACACAGCAAGTAGGGATTTTTTTTTGTTCGAGCGGTATTCAATTCTAAGTAGGTATATTTTTTTTAAATGCGCTTTACGAAAAAAATTTAGTTTTTGAAGTTTTTCATCAATAACTTCAAAACAAAGTTTGTCCGGGTTTTTTTTTACATTCTTAAAAAGCACCCCTAAATACACATTTTGAAAAAAAAAAAATTTAAAAATCGAAAAGTTGCTAAACCAGAATCGTTCCCAAATATGTACTAAGAGTACATATATTACTTATTATATAGTTTTGTATTGTATTGTTATATCAAAATAAAATATCGATCGCATTTTTGGGGGGGCTCTTATTCAAATTATAAAATATAATCCTATCCGCCACTGTATGGAACTAGAACACATCATACAGATTTCTAGTTCCATAAGTATCCACTAAGACATGCTAAAAGGAAAATATCCCCCTGAACACCGCCTGTTGTACTACATTTCGTCGTCAACCCCTCCACACACCAAACCTTGTCGTATCCACTATCCAGTCCTGTATATCTTTGTCCGTGATAATAACCATGAAATAAGAAGATATAGACTGGTGTCTGGCACGAACTAAGATATACAGGACTGGTAACGACTCTAGATATTGCGGTCGGGTACTCTTGCTGAAGTGTACCTTGGTGTATGTGGCGCACTCTGTCGGTTTACTAATAGCGTTTTCGATTTGACGCACTTTTTGCACTGAGTGCATAAACGTATTCGATTTTTATATATCTTAGTTCGTGGTGTCTGGTCACAACACACAGATATGTATAATAAATATTATGCATAATATTTGTGTCACAACATGATAGGCGGGTGGTAGTGGTAAAGTCAGTAATTGTTATGGTACCGGAATCATGTGATAGTGTCGGTGCCTAGCGGTCTTCATCGGAAACGCTAGAACTGTTATGATATCAATAACAAAATATAATAGCGATTGCCGCCGCCACCCATGGCAAACCGACAACTGAATGCTTGAATAATGAATATCCATATCCCGACTAGAGTGCGTTACTATCGCATCGTTTTGAACCCATAACATTTCCTGACCGGTATTTCGTATTTGGGTATACGTGACCAGTCCATATATTCTTATAGTTCATTATAAAAACATAAGTACCAATCACGGAATAAGATATAATCGACTGGAAACGACATGGTGTGCGGGGGACGGCCCGCAAAAGGTTCCTCTGTTATAATCAACACTTATAATTGAATGTTTTCAGAGCTACCAGTGTTTGCGTCACATTTTGTATCTCAGTCCGTGTTTTATACAGACGGCGCTGTAAACTCTCCATTATGATTGCGACCCCCCGAATTGGCCTCTTGTACATATTTTCGAGGCCACTGATAAGCTGCTCGTTTCCAGTCCATTATAACTTAGTCCGTGGTACACTGGTACCAATATATTACATTTATAAGGTGGAACAGTAGATATTATCAAATACCTACTATAGATGAGAATACGGGACGGTTCGATTAAAAAACCACGATATATTTTGTCCCCACGAAAACGTATGGGTTGCTTTCAAACATATCATAGCTCCTTATCATTGATTTCTCAACCACTACGATTTTTGGGGATCCTATGTCATAACATTGACTGCAGTGGCGTATATAGGGGGAAGGCCCCCTAGGCCAGGGCCCATACTGAAATTGCAGGTTCAGTTAAAGTATTTCATGTATATCTACATTCTACACTGCTTACAGTTTTTCACGTTTCACCATGATTAATTTAGCCGGTTGATTAAAATCGTTTTTGAGAAATCCACAAGGAAATAATTGTCAGGACTTGCTTTAATGTTAAATTCACAGTTAGATAACATAAAAAAATATATATATATATGAAATTGTCAATATTTTTTAAAAAAGAATTAAAAAATTAATTTTACATAATTATAAAATGAAATTGCTCAATTTTTATTTATATTGTATATGTCGTAATTATAACCACCCAGCTCCCTAAAATATTGTAGTAAGCCAGTACTACGAAACAAATACTACCAATTTCACGGGTGCATAGTTAGTTTAATATACTGTAGAACGGCCTAAAACATAGCTATTACAAGAAAGTGGTTAGGTCTCCTTACGTTGAATGTAGTGAGACAAAACCACTGAATACTCAGGACGAGGGGTTCAAAAATAAGCATATACTGGGTGATTCTTTTATCAAACAACACTCATTATTTCAAGAAGTGTAAATTTTTTTGAAAATATTTTTTTACATAGTTTCAAGTCGCTTATAAAACAACGTTTTTATAAAAAAATTATATTTTTAAATATTTTTTATCCTTATATTTTTTTATGTTTTTTACTTTTTTAAATGACAACATAGGGTTTTAATTTTATATTCTAAAGTAGAATATTTTTCTTAGTATTTTGATACATTAAAATCGAATTTGAGGCGAGTAGTTTACGAGTTATAAGTATTTAAAGTTTAGACGAGCGGAGTGGAGTGGTTCGGGGTTACCCCGCGAAATGTTTGTCCACTTCACAGCTCATCAAACTTTGAATATTTATAACTCATAAACTACTCAACCCAAATTCGATTTTCATGTATCAAAATACTAAGAAAAATATTCTGCTTTGGAATATAAAATTAAAACCCTATGTTGTTATTCAAAAAAGTAAAAAAATTAAAAAATTATAAGGATAAAAAATTTTTAAAAATATAATTTTTTAATAAAAACGTTGTTTTATAATCGACTTGAAACTATGTATAAAAATATTTTCAAAAAAATTTACACTTTTTGAAATAATGAGTGTTGTTTGATAAAAGAATCACCCAGTATAATATTTTACAGAAACACTGTACACGACAAATGCAAGAGTAAAATGATTATTTTAATAATAATCATAGATTGGAAACGCAGTCAATCGTAAATGTGTGGGCTGGGATGATGAGCACACAAATCACATCCGTGAGAACCGAGATATCGTATATGTAGGCAAGGGGTACGGGGAACCTCATATATAAGGGAGCCCGAATCGGCCTGTATTCAGACGTGTACTACCACCCATTAGTGCAAGCACCTTCACGCCACTCTGTAGAATATTATTTGGACTTAGAAAAATTATCGAACATTATAATAAAAATTCACAATATATTACATCTGTCTTA